CTTGAGTGCATAAGTCATATTTATACTTGAGTGCATATCATGTTTATACTTGAGTGCATAAGTCATATTTATACTTGAGTGCATAAGTCATGTTTATACTTGAGTGCATAAGTCATATTTATACTTGTGTGCATAAGTCATGTTTATACTTGAGTGCATATGTCATATTTGTTATACTTTATGCATAATCATGTTTATACTTGAGTGCAGTCATATTTATACTTGAGTGCATATCATGTTTATACTTGAGTGCATAAGCATATCATATTTATACTTGAGTGCATATCATGTTTATACTTGAGTGCATAAGTCATATTTATACTTGAGTGCATATCATGTTTATACTTGAGTGCATAAGTCATATTTATATCATGTTTTAATTTTGGAGTGCATAAGTCATATTTATACTTGAGTGCATATCATGTTTATACTTGAGTGCATAAGTATACATATACTTTATATGTTTTACTTGAGTGCATATCATATTTATCATATTTATTTATACTTGAGTGCATATCATCATGTCATATTTATACTTGAGTGCATAAGTAATGTTTATACTTTTATAGTCTTGAGTGCATATCATGTTTATACTTGAGTGCATAAGTCATATTTATACTTGAGTGCATATAATGTTTATACTTGAGTGCATAAGTCATATTTATACTTGAGTGCATATCATGTTTATACTTGAGTGCATAAGTCATATTTATACTTGAGTGCATAAGTCATGTTTATACTTGAGTGCATAATGTTTATACTTTTATACTTGAGTGCATAGTCATGTTTATACTTGAGTGCATATATTTATCATGAGTTTATACTTGAGTATGTTTATACTTGAGTGCATAAGTGGATTTATACTTGATATATCATATTTATACTTATGCATGTCATATTTATACTTGAGTGCATCATCATGTTTATACTTGAGTGCATAAGTCATATTTATACTTGAGTGCATATCATGTTTATACTTTGCAGTGCATAAGTCATATTTGTTTACTTGAGTGCATAAGTCATGTTTATACTTGAGTGCATATCTCATGTTTTATACTTGAGTGCATAATTCATATTTATACTTGAGTGCATATCATGTTTATACTTGAGTGCATAAGTCATGTTTATACTTGAGTGCATATCATGTTTATACTTTGCATAAGTCATATTTATGAGTGCATAAGTCATGTTTATACTTGAGTGCATAAGTCATATTTATACTTGAGTGCATATCATGTTTATATACTTGAGTGCATAAGTCATATTTATGCTTGAGTGCATAAGTCATGTTTATACCCAGTGCATAATTCATTTATACTTGAGTGCATAAGTCATGTTTATACTTGAGCATAATGCATAATCATGTTTATACTTGAGTGCATAAGTCATATTTATACTTGAGTGCATGTCATGTTTATACTTGAGTGCATAAGTCATGTTTATACTTGAGTGCATAAAGTCATATTTATACTTGAGTGCATATCATATTTTATACTTGAGTGCATAAGTCATATTTATACTTGAGTGCATGTCATGTTTATACTTGAGTGCATAATTTCATATTTATACTTGTGTGCATGTCATGTTTATACTTTGAGTGCATAAGTCATATTTATACTTGAGTGCATATATCATGTGTTTATACTTGAGTGCATAAGTCATATTTATACTTGAGTGCATGTCATGTTTATACTTGAGTGCATAAGTCATATTTATACTTGAGTGTGCATGTTTATACTTGAGTGCATAAGTCATATTTATACTTGAGTGCATGTAATGTTTATACTTGAGTGCATAAGTCATATTTATACTTGAGTGCATGTCATGTTTATACTTGAGTGCATAAGTCATATTTATACTTGTGTGCATAAGTCATGTTTATACTTGAGTGCATAAGTCATATTTATACTTGAGTGCATGTCATGTTTATACTTGAGTGCATAAGTCATATTTATACTTGAGTGCATGTAATGTTTATACTTGAGTGTCAGTCATTTTATACTTGAGTGCATGTCATATTTATACTTGAGTGCATATCATATTTATACTTGAGTGCATGTCATGTTTATACTTGAGTGCATGTCATGTTTATACTTGAGTGCATAAGTCATATTTATACTTGAGTGCATATCATGTTTATACTTGAGTGCATAAGTCATATTTATACTTGAGTGCATGTCATGTTTATACTTGAGTGCATAAGTCATATTTATACTTGAGTGCATATCATGTTTATACTTGAGTGCATAAGTCATATTTATACTTGAGTGCATATCATGTTTATACTTGAGTGCATAAGTCATATTTATACTTGAGTGCATATCATGTTTATACTTGAGTGCATAAGTCATATTTATACTTGATTGCATAAGTCATGTTTACACTTGAGTCTATAGGTAGGCACAAGTAAATTTCTGCTTCATGTTTTAAATTGTCATAATGACAAAAGTTATTGGTGTTCACCTGGCATCTCGTCTTCACTCACTTTCCCACGGCTGTAACATATCTTCCCTTTACCGCTTCTATAAAAAAATTTTATGGTAATTGTTGATAAGTTTTCCTTGTTGGTATCTCTATTTCCCGATTTTAAACGCAATACTATATTGTAATCCAGGTCTCTCTGCTGAAACTATTACTTACTACCATAAGTTTTATGCTAATAGTTTCTCATCTCGCACTTCTTTAGTGTAGAACTATTTTCCAACTTCCTGCTTTCCTGTCAACTACGATCTTCAAAATTTAAATGTAATGTCAATCTTCATCTTCTGTCTGCTTTGTTTACTGTTCTTTTATTGTCTTGTCTGTTTCGTTCACTCTCAGTAAACCCTTGCATCCTATTGACTTTTATTAAATTGCTTGACATGAAATGATGCTGCATAAATTTCGAATATGCTCCAGTATTTTTGTCTGCGTTATAAGTTGTCCTACACGCTGAGTTCTGGAAATATCAGTAATATTTATATGGAAAGAATGTATGTTTATGACAATCTTCTATGTATCTGAGTAAATAATCGTCGCTGTAGATGCATGTACGTACCTAGATAAGTATTTATCTAAGTTTCAGTGATAAGTATTTCTAAGTCGGATGTTGTCTCTTGTAGCTTCCCCCTTGACCTTTTTCAAGATGTGGCAATTCAAATTGTTTCTGGGTTTCCGGCTCGGCATTATCGTTCATAAACATTTGCTAAGACCCAAACCCTGAGACAATCGACCTTTCTTTTAGGAAAACCCGAGGACCTTTTAGAGAACACATGAAATGAACATAATCGTCAAGGAAGGAATAATCACATGTTACACACACACACACACACACATAGAGAGAGAGTGTGTGGGGGGTGTAGCAATTTGTATGCCTGCAAATTATAGGATCACTTTTCTCGAATTTTACTCGTAGACAAAATGTGATATTTTATTTAGAACAGGAAAAGTTGGATGTTTTATGTTTTAATTGGCCATTTGAATGTGTGACTCTGCTATTTTCTCTTTGCGTGTGGTTCAACTATTTACCAGCCATTACAATATATATATATATATATATATATATATATATATATATATATATATTCATACATGTTTCATTAAATAATATAGACAAGTGTTGTCTGTTTATTTTATGTAAATTCTTTTCATAACGCCTGATAAGCTTAATAACATTATCATTAAACGAAGAAAGAAAATGTCAATATTGATACATATTTTTTTAATCCAATCTAAGCTTTCAGCTTACATAAGCCATTATCAAAGATGACAATTACTGTACAATAAATTAATCTTAATTACATGGAATTACTGTGAAGGAAGTAAATAGGCCCAAATTTTATACGTCCACCAAGAAAATTCAGCACTTAATTACTTCTCAATGAGCCGGTAATGGTTGACAAAAGACCAGGAAAAAGTCTGATTTTTTTCGGGTCGTTAACATCCAAAAAGTTAGGTTTCTTTAATATCTAATTGTTGATTTGAGTTCAGCATATACATTTGCACGGAAATAAGACTATTTTGGAAAAATTTGAAGGGATATTAGCGCTCGGGTATTAAAATAAAAATTTATCTATATTTTTAAATATTTTTCTTTAATTCATTTTTCTAAAGAATTAATGAATTTATTTTTAGTCCGACATTTTTATTACTTCAAACGTTATTATAGTCGTTACTTCGCATTTGAAATAAACGCCCTAGTTTTTTTTTTATTTTTCTAAACAATGTTCATAAAATCTCTCAGTGAAGAGTATACGGTTTCCTTAAAAATGAAAAAATTGCTGCGACTTACTTCCCTCCAAACGTATTTTTTTACTAAAATTTCTAAGATGCGCAGGCCGTATACCACAAAAAAAAATTACAAGATATTGAGTATAAAAAATTCATGCAAAATTGTTCTGATAAACTTGCCTCTATGGTACCTAGACTTTATGAATTTAAGCGCAGTACTAGATTGGCAATTAGGTCTCATCATTTTACATTTGAAATGGCTAGATATAACCGTAAGTTCTATGCTAAGACTTTCTTCCTACGCACTTCTCGCTTGTGGAACTTTCTTGCGGCCTCTTGTTTTCTATTCAATTTTGATCTTCAAAAATTTAAATGCAATGTCAATCGTCGTCATCTGTCTTCTTAATTCCTATTCATTTATTGATCTCTCTCCTAAATACTGTTTTTCTTTTTCTCATATTCTCTAACAGTCAGTAACCCTTTGCATCTCAGTGGCTTTGTTGCCTTGCTTGAGGTGAACTGATGAAAAATATAGAGAAAAAAATGGAGTATTTTTTATAGCTTGATTTGTTTTTTATGACTTATCAACCTTTTGCAAACTGGAAAATATTTTTAGTTTGTAAACAATATTTTGGAGATAATAATGATTTATTGATACAGGTCCTATTAATTAACCCATAGCTGGGGGGAAAGAAGTGAATTCATACCTTTTGCAAGGGTATTTAGGCGTAATTCAACTCTCCGATTTTCAATTCCGAGCTGCTATCTATTACACTACCTGTTCATCGAAGCTTACATCACCTGGTATTCCCAAGCGGTTACCCCTGTAGGTACTGACCAGACTCGATGTTGTTTAACTTCGGTGATCGTACGAGGACCGATGTCTCAACGTGATATGGCCGTAAGCCTGAAAATATGAAGTAGGAAGATTTTATAGCGCTAATATTCTAAATTTGAAGAACCTGCCTTGAAAATACACATTAGAAATCCTAGCATTTCACATAGGCACGAACACTCGAAACATTTAGCAATTTTTGACTTTACTTCACTAAATTCACCATATTTCATGAACCTGGATTAATTTGGCTTACCATAAAATCTAACCCTCAAACCTAATCAAATTACATTTTTTTAAATTTATGCTACAAGAGTTCTCAGTACCAAGGATGAATCGTTTATAGATATAATATATTAAAGTAGATATGTAGGTATGATGTTTCTTTAATGTGTGAACCTGCAAGTCACTATGCAGTGTTTAGGTCTGTGCCAAAACTTTATATAATACTCCAGAAAGTACCTGAGTCAGATGAGATTAAAAATGGAATATTGCTATTATATCTGGTCTGGAGTTGCTTAATCCTCACTATCCAGCCTTAAAAGAGTTTAAAATCGTTTACGCAGCCTTGTGGGTGATCTTCTACCTTGCAACCCCTTTCCCACAGACAAAAGTTTGCTAGCCTCACGCTACTCCATCGATATTTTCATGGTAAATTTTCAGACGAGATACATTCCCCGGTCCTCCCCAGTTCAGACCTTTACCGCAATAACCACCGTGTCAAGTAAACAGCGTCAGTTCATCTTCATTCTCTTCGTATTCCATTGGTAACGAGGAAGTTTCACTCAGACTTTTCCTTTCCCAGTATTGTAAATACAATTTTAACCGCTTCAAGTATAGGCTAACCGTTATCTATCTTACATATCCTGAGAATATTCACTTCTTACCTATTCTCTTTATGGCCTTGCAACAACCTGACTCAGCAATCCTCTATTCTAAGGGTTTCTCTGTCCTTGTATGAGATAGATAGATAGATAGATAGATAGATAGATAGATAGATAGATAGATAGATGGGGGAGAGAGAGTATAGCCTCAAACATAGTGAGAGAGAATTAAAGAGAAGAAAGAGAATAAGATAGATAGATAGATAGATAGATAGATAGATAGATAGATAGATAGATAGATGGAGAGGTTGGATATAGGAATCAACCATGCATGGTGATTATCAGTTTCACACTCTGTCTCAAGGTCTGATGATCACTAAAAGTGGAATCGGTGCGCTGAGTTCAAATTCTGACAGTTTCTTCACTTCACATCAATAAATAGCAGAGTAGACGGGGGTCTCCTGCCTTGGAAGGCGGTAGAAAGCAATCTCTAAATTCAACCCAAGTAAATAAAAAGGCAGACTGGACTCTTTGGCTATAGTACGGAAATCAGTCTAGGAGATGGATAACTTTATCTTTAAAATCAACTTGAAGATTAATGGGGCTCCGATAACCTATCTTGTTCTAAACATACCCATTGTGAGTCCCCAATGACGCTTAGTGTTAATGGTAATATTAACCGTTTATTTATGAGGAAACATTCGTCATTCATTGACCAAGCAGCTTGTACTACTGTCGCTCAAAATTTATAAAATATTTCTCTTAAAACAATTTTCCAGGAAAATAGGTTCATGGAGTCCAGTAGCTGTTATCGCACTTTCCATTATTAAAACGGTTTCCTTCCTAACCTTTTGTTTGAAGTAGTGTGGAATGTCAACATATTGTTTATGTCATTATTTTCTCTTCTCAAGTCTAGTCGCTGTTACCGCTCTTTCCATTATTGGTGGGGGTTTCCTTCCTAACCTTTTGTTTGAAGTAGTGTGGAAAGTCAACATATTGTTTATGTCATTATTTTATCTTCTCAAGTCCAGTAGCTGTTATTGCTATTTCCATTATTGGTGAGGGGGTTCTTTCCTAACACTTTCTTTGAAGTAACGTGGAATGTTAACATCATGATTATGTCATTATTTTCTCTTCGAGTTACATGTATTATCCATTTTAGTTGTTGCAGCTGTTGAAAGTCCTCAAGTGATGAGGTTTCTGCTACTTGGTACAGTTCTTTGTTCGTGATTCTGTAGTGCCAGTCCACAAGGTACGAAGAAGGGTGGTTATCAACAAGACGCGCAGGCTTCACTCGCTCAGAGCCATTTTTAAGCATTGACCTCAGAAAACGGTTATATGAGCTACGAGAATCGTCATTGTGATCTTATTAAAAAAAAATATCACGCCTTTGCAGCTAATTATAATCTCATTATTCGTCACAGAATCAAGAATAGGTATCAGTTGAGAATTTGGGTCAGGATTCAAAATAAAGTTTTAAAAAGACACTTTATCCTGAGTAGAGAGGCTTATTATTCACTTTGGAGTTAAAAGTCCGGGATTGGGGTACGCCAATTAACAACAGAGTTTCATTACAATAGAGTTTTGTAATATGCAGACAGTTACTAATTTGCTTGAACGTACATTTTGAAAAAAAAATCAAAAGAAAATGCAACTGTTTTAATGGTGGGCTAGATAGTCGTTAGGGAGACGGTTCAATTACGGTCAAAGTACAATATGTTTTATTATGCCCCGAAAACAAACAAAAAAAAAACAATAAAAAAATATCTTTAAGGATATTTATTAATATTGGTTTAGTTTGGCACAAGGCCGCAATAGTGAAGCGCCCAATGAAGCTCGAATTCAATAAACATCGTTTACAATATTTACACATCACATAAAGAATATTGATGCTTTCTGAAACCCTTCTTCTTCGTGTCATCTCCTTTCAGGACGTGGGCGATCATGGCTCTTCACAACTTCCTCTCTTTTGTATCTCTTAGCAAGGTTTGATTTTCCACTATCCCTCACCGCCCCTCTTCTCCCATCCATTTACACGAGCTCGTTAGGCGGGTTACTTGGTGTTTCCCTCTGTCACTCTTGCCATCAATGTGTCTTGTGATTGTCACATTCTACAAGCCCTCCTTCCTCATCATATGCTCAAGAAATTTCAACTCTCTCTCTCTCTCCTCCTCTCTCTCTCTCTCTCTCTGATCCTAAGTGTCTATTTTGTTACCATTTTGCTAAATACTTCTATATATCCATAATATTTCAATATCTTAAGTTTGGTTTGGTTTGGTTTGGTTTGTTTTGCAGCATATCAACACCTCAATGGGTTATTTAATGCCGACAAGATTTTTAGGATAGGTACGTATGAATAGAATATATATTCTTTGTGAGAAATCAGTTTGTAGATCATGTTTCATTGGCGTATTTTTGTAAAGCGGGTTTTTATCGAGAGTCAAATGTATTTATTTTGGGGGTTAATTATTTGCCCATAGCTGGGACCCAAACAGATGCTATCACCTCTGGTGTGAGTGGGCCTGAGAACAACAGTATTTAAAAGGTGTTTCCACGCTCCTCAAAGCATTCCCGATCAGAGGAGTACCACATATATTTATTACATAACTGATGTACAAGAGTTCAACATATTACCTACTCAACTTTACCAGCCAAGGATCCATCATTGCAACACAAAGGAAATTCCGACAGCATTTAGGAAAGTGTCATGGGAATATCCAAGGGTGCATTCCAAAAGTTAAACAAAGAAACAGAAACATTTCGTTAGAAACAAAGAAAAAGTGAATAACTGTTACGTAATATCAGTTCTTCTGTATGGCAGTGAATGCTGGACATTCGACTCACAGATGAAGTAGAAACTTGGGGCAACAGAAATGTAGTTCTACAGGAGGATGCTGGTGATGCCATGGAACGAACATGTGAGCAGCGATTAAATTTTAGAGTAAATGGAAACAAAAAGGAAATATATACTTAACATCAGGAAGATGCTGTTGAAATTTCTATGTTTCATAACGAGGAAAGAGGGATTGGAAAATTTGATACTCACAGAACAGATTAAAGGCATGAGGAACAGAGGAAAACAACGTATAATATAATTAGTGATCCCGAGTAAATGGATGGCGAAGAAAGGTTCAGGAGAGACAACAAAAGACAAATTTATTAAAGAGTACAAAGGACAGGAAATTGTGGAGAACTATGGCCGGATCCGTCCTGAAAGAACACGGTACAAAGAAGAAGAAGAAGAAGAAAATGAAGAAAAGAAAGTAAAAGAAAAAGAAGAAAAAAAGAAAAAGAAGAAAAAAGAAAGAAAAAAGAAAAAAAAAGAAAAAGAAGAAAAAAGAAGAAAAAGAAAAAGAAGAAAAAGAAAAAAGAAAAAGAAGAAAAAGAAAAAGAAGAAAAAAAAGAAAAAGAAGAAAAAAAGAAAAAGAAGAAATTAAACGATATGAACCTAGGTTACCTTTTTCCTTGTTGACCATCCACCATGACTCACCTGTCGCTCTTACCGTCACTCTTACCGTATGACTAGAATGTAGCGTTTGCTGTGCAAACAATCAAAGACAAGCAGGACGAAAAAAGCAAACGAAAAACAGAACAGAATCGAAATAGCTGTTATCATTATCAACATTTCTATGAAAACAGACGTGGAATCATCATTGCCGGTTTGGTGAGAAAGTGACACGAAAGGGAAAAGAAAAAAAATCGAAAAGAAACATTTGAAGAGAGCAGACGAGACTTTAAAAGAGATAAAAAAAAAAAGAAAGAAATACGAAATATGGCGTTGATCAACGCGCTTGTAATTAGAAACATAAAAAACGAGAAAGATGACGATGGAAAATAAATATTTACAAGCTTGAGTTTGATCCAACAGTGGGTTGCAAAAAGCGGACACGACGTGAAAATCAGACACACTAAACTTGTAAAAATGTTGTTAACTGTGTTAAAGAAATGGCTTGTTAATTTTAACGCCCCCTAAAAATACTAAACTGCTCTCTTTTAATCGCCTTAGTTAATTTTTTTTTTTATGAATTGGAATGATTATATCGAGTCAATTGCTAGGTCTACTACTAGGAAAGTTGGTTCACTGTGTTGGGCTAAAATTATTCTTACCAGAATCAGTCTTGCACCTTTATAAGTCTATCATTTGCTCGTGATAGAATATTGTTGCTACATCTGGTCATATCCTTTTATGTATCTTGAGATTTGGGACAAAATCCAAAGAATATGCAATGTTATCTGCCATCATGGT